CAGTTTTATTTTGCCTTTAACACATTGCAAAAGAATTCTAATCAATAATTATCCCTTTAAAATAAAATTGAGCTTGTAATCGTCTAAATGCACTTGGACTACACTTAGACTACATTAGTGATTTGAATAAATACAGAAGTTTAAAGCACTAATGTAGTCTAAGTGTAGCTGAAGCAGTTTTCTATTCGATGAGGCGTATACAAAAATTTTCTCAAAATGTTTAAAAACCAGGATTACGGGAAAACCCAAAGCCATACTTTCAGGTATTCTAGGTTCTATCGGTAAATTTGTGTTAACGGCTTAGTAGTTAGGCAGAGTAAGCATTTCTGAGAAAAATAAGACGGGCCCGACCTCTCCACAACATATTTCGATCAAGCTGCATTATATTTACGGAAAGCCCCCAAAGACATTCCTGCTGCTTTTTTGCAGAATATTTTTATTTTCTGTCCCTTCGTTATTTTGCCAGTAAGACTAATAAACTTACTGTTTGAAACAACGTACTATAGCTTGTTTTGTAGCCCTTTTAATTCTGCATTTTCTAAATACAAACTATTTCCAATTTTTAGTTGTGAAAGACACTGATTATTTTTATATATCACTATGAGTAAAAATCCAGATATCTATGCAGTATTTAGTCAATAAATCTATGAGACCAAACTTTTAAAACAAAATATTGTAGTTCATTTTGAAGCCGAGAAAGTTCTTATATAAAACATTTCGGTTCTGAGCAGATGTATGGAATAAATATTCTTTTAAAGTCTTAAGATAGGTGAAAATCATGATATTATCTGTGGAGTATTTCGACAATTGTTCTATATGGGCATATGTTTGAGAAGCTTGTCAATAGCTCGTTTTCAGGCACAGAAAATTCTATCTATGTATGAGCTTTGGTCAAAGTCTTTGAAATCGTACGAAAATTTTGAGAAACAAAGTGAATGACCTTCATTGAACTCGTAACAAATAATTTTTTGAAGGAGATCAATAGTCTTTGAAAGTCAGTGCTGGGAAGTGAGGTCATTTCCATTAAAATCATATGGAGCCATTTTCTAGCAGAAAACGTTTCTCATCCTTTACAATAACACAACATGTAAACACATTTAAGCTATAGTTTGTAGCCGTTAAGACGGCTGTTGGGTTATGATTTGTCGCTAATTTGCTGTTACTTGTTTATGCTTTTTCAGCTGCACCACTTTTTGCTGGTGTACCACTCGATTTTCCTTCAGACTTGTCACCTTTCGATGACTTTTTGGGATGCGCGCTCGTAGATGTTGTTGTATCACGTGGGGTCCCAGTTGTTTCGGTACCCGTTTTCTTTGGTAATAAGATGGCTTGAATATTAGGCAACACACCTCCTTGAGCGATGGTCACACCTGATAATAATTTGTTCAATTCTTCATCATTACGAATGGCTAATTGTAAATGACGAGGAATAATTCGAGTTTTTTTGTTATCACGAGCCTAAAAATTAGTTATATATTCCATCTTTCTAATAAACTATTGAAATTCCTAAAAATTAACTTACAGCATTGCCAGCTAATTCCAGAATTTCAGCTGATAAATATTCCAAAACAGCAGCTAAATACACAGGAGCACCAGCACCAACACGTTCAGCATAATTTCCACGACGAAGTAAACGATGAATACGGCCAACGGGAAATTGAAGGCCAGCACGAGATGATCGTGTTTTCGCTTTGGCACGGGCTTTACCTGAACCAGCTGTTTTTCCACGTCCTGACATATTTTGATTTTAGTTATTGAAGAGAATTGTAAGATGACGACAAGTTATAGATATAAAATTGCAGATAACCTACACAATTGTAAACAACGTGATTATATAGTCAGTCGAAAAAAAAAATAAACCAATGAAGGTAGAATATTGGTCAACTGTGCTTAAAACGTGAATGATTCTTGCACTACTGCATTTTACTGGACCAATCAGTTTCTGAATATTCTTTCCATTCTGTTATACAGTCTATGCTTGCTTTTTTTTCTCTTCTTCTTGTGGACAAGAACGGATGGAAACATACAAAGAACTCATTCTGATTCGTTCTTTCACCTTCTATCTAGAGTATATAAATGCGACCAAGTACAGTTCAACTTCATCTGATATTCTCGCTTGTATATCTCACACTCTTCTATATACGATTACCAAATAATCAACTATTAACATGCCTCCAAAAACACCAAGCAAAGGTTCGAAAAAAGCTGTAACAAAAACAAGCAAAGGTGGAAGTGCCAAAGGTGAAAAAAAAGTTAAACGTCGACGAAAGGAAACGTACTCTATCTATATCTACAAAGTATTGAAACAAGTACATCCAGATACAGGTTAGTCAAAACGGATGCTGGTTAAAGTTGTTACTGCATAGTGATTATATTTCCAGTCTAATATGTTCAACTTTTTCTAGGTATAAGTTCAAAAGCCATGTCAATTATGAATTCGTTTGTGAATGATATATTTGAACGTATAGCTGCTGAATCAAGTCGGTTATCGCATTATAATAAGCGTTCGACAATATCGTCACGTGAAATTCAAACAGCTGTGCGATTATTGTTGCCTGGAGAATTAGCTAAACATGCTGTTTCGGAAGGAACAAAAGCTGTAACCAAATATACAAGTGCCAAGTAGACAACAGCAAACTCTTTGCAAAAAATAACTAAAACCCAACAGCTCTTTTTAGGGCTACAAATTCTTCTCTGATGCGCGGGCACAGATTGTGTTATTTGAATGGTTATGTTCAATTTCACGTTCTAGCTTTTGACTAGAGTTGAACAAAGATGAAATTCAGCAATCTTTGGTTGTATAAACAGCACACCGCCCGGTGGAGTCCACTAAAAAGAGGTTTCATATTATAGCGTAGTTCCATAAAACTCTTGGTTTTTGCTAAGGTTAATACTGCTCTTACGAAATCGGCGGTAAGAACTAGCTATTCTGTACATTAAGATGTGAAATCTTACACTAAGTGTTGTATCTGGATTTAGGAATGATACGAAAGGAAGACATCTGATTGTATACATATTGATATAAATTGTTGATAGTCCAAAAACACAGACAAAACCGTGGTTGTTTTAGTCTTATTTGTGTTGTTGAGCAATATAAATCGAAAGAACTTTCTGACACTTTCTTTTCTAAGTTTAATAGGCTGCCTTAGCTGAGTAAATGAGAGATAATTTCCTGGCAAACGTGGAATCTTTACTTTCAAATCTCATTAAGAGTTCGTCGTTCAAGAGGCTCCTGAAACGATACGTCGAATTGCAGATACGTTTCTTTCACTTGATTTTATGGGAAAAGTGATGGTTGTAATACTTGGTAAAACCAACCAAGTACTCGGAGTGAAACATAAACTAATCGAAATATCACCACAATTATGCTTAAAAAATAGAAAGTATTATTAAATCAGCTAAGGTCCCACGAATGGGATACAAACAAAATCCAATTGGAAGGGACATACTATCTCATTAGCATTCCTGATGGGTACTCGTATATATGAAAACCATGGAATTTTATTCCTATTATGAAAAACTTAGATATGACGATAACGATCCAGAATGTCCTTTTAAAGATTTCCTTCAGACATTTTGTCCCTGGAAAAAATCTCCTACATAAATGTCCTTGGTCGAAATATCTATGGCATATTGTCTTGAACGGTTCCTGTCGAAAAATGCCCCTAGGATAAAAATGAAATAAATATGCCAAATAGATGGTGAGAATATTAATCATCTAATTAAATTTATTATATCGCATTGAATTTTACTTTATTTCTTACATGCAACATTTCTTTCGTTCCTCTATTCACCAGTAAGCGAAAGGAATCCTTTACAACAAAAAGAAAATATCTGATCAACTGAAGTTGTATCACAGCGCACCTGAGATAAAATGCACAGAAGTGAGAAATACATAAAAGGTTGATGGTTTTATAACAGACGAGAATATTCTTGGTGTAAGATCGCTTTGCTGTTAGTGACTCTCGTGATTAGTTCGGCTTTGTTTGACTCACAGAGTACTGGAGATCCGTCATTCCGCCTCATTCACAGAATATTAGATTGGCTCTAATAACGAACTGATCTTAGCGATGATATCTAGGGATATACATTCTCTGAAAGTCCAAGCATGAATGTTTTCTTAACATCTAAGATTCAAGCTGTATTAGAACTACCAGTCAAAATTTTTCTAAAGTTCAAAACACCGTTAGCATAATTCCCATGACGAGTAAAGAAGAGTTCGAGAAAGCTGCATACTTATTTTAAGCTCAACCCGCAGACGAGTCTGAGGTGAATGATTCACCTTAATTGCATGTTCCCGAAGAGAAAACCGGGTAAAGCATTGTGAAATCGGTTTCTTAACTATCTTAAGAAACAAACTAAAGAATAGAAACCAGTAGTAAGTATGAAACAAGATTTCGGAGTATAAATCTGACCAACTGTAGTTGTATCACAGCGTGCCCTAGATTTCAATATGTAATACATGCCAAACGACGATTATCATAACGGACCTTTTTACACGAGGGACCATTTCTAAAGGACATTTTGACCAAAGACATTTTTTCTGCAAGACATCTTTCCAAGGACTAAATACTCGGAACATTTTGTCCGAGGACAAAATTGCGGGAACATTTTCCAAAAGCCATTTTCGGAAGGACATTCTTGCCTATATTCGATATAACTACAATATTTTGATTTCTGCTTTCTCTTGTTTGAAGCCATCCTGAAACTCAAATGTAACTCTTAGGTGGTGCAAAACCCTAAGAAAAACCACTCACAATATGTACAAGTAAATTCATAAGTTGTCAAGACGGGAGCATGTCCCAAATGCAGCATCGAAACATTTTGCAGCGCACATTTCAGAAGATTAATTATGTCTCTGATTCTGTCTAATCAGACGTGAATGCACTCTAATGTGGATTATTTCATGTTTTCGAACGTGCTCTTGCTCACAGCACTGTAAACCACTCTGTTAGACAACAGTGAGTTTCTTGTAGTAGATTTCCTGGAAAAACGAGTTGGAACCAGGAGTATTTTTCTCTCACGCACTATGGGTGTCAAAAAAGCCTTGTAAGCCAATTGCGCTGAATACAGATGATCGAGAAAACATTTTTCTGCACCTTTGTGACACAAACTTGGCAAGAAAACGTTACACTTTGTCGTAACTGTACAAAATTTACAATGAGTCCCTTAGCAGTGCGTAGAAAGCCGAATATGGAATAAAGGGGAAAAGATGTCAATCACAAAGGCTTGAAAAGAAAAAGTTATTAGTTGTTTCTCAGTTGATAGATCATTCTAGACGGGCTGTTAGCTAAAAAAACTATTGCGAAAACGAAATCAAGTATTGATTTTCACGAGGGCTATGGGAACATTCGGGTGGGCGCCCACCCGGCCTACACACTATAAATTACTGCGTTTATTATGAAAATGAAAAACGTTAGTAGTTGAACTTGAAAATGACGTCATGTTTTCGTTAAAGCTGATAAACTATTTTAGGAATAGAATATACAAATTATTGAACGATCAAAGTAGCTAAGAAGATACATTCCAACCTATTACTCTTCAATCATGTCATGAATAGAAAAATGTATATCGAAATTACAGAGAATTTCCAATTAGGATTGTAAGCGGAGAAATAATATTTATAATGTTTACTATTTACTACTTCTTCGGTCCACCGTTCAATCGTTAACAGTCTTGTTGTGGTTATCCGTGTTTTTCTGCAGTTTTTGTACGGGAAAAGTATCTAAATAAATAATACATGGAATCTGTTGAGTATTACATGGTTTCTTAGCCGTAATAAGGAAACTCAAATAACAATCATACATTATGTTTCGCACATTTGAAGAAAAGTTAGGTAGCCCTAAAGAGAGCTGTTGGGTTTCCGTTGATTATATGTTTCTAACCTGTAAAGTGCGATTTCAATTTTAACCACCAAAACCATACAATGTACGACCTTGACGTTTGAGGGCATAAACTACGTCCATTGCTGTTACGGTTTTTCGTTTGGCATGTTCTGTATATGTAACAGCATCTCGAATAACATTTTCAAGGAATATTTTCAAAACTCCTCGCACTTCTTCATAAATTAATCCACTAATACGTTTAACACCACCTCGACGAGCCAAACGACGAATCGCCGGTTTCGTTATACCTTGGATGTTATCACGTAAGACTTTTCGATGACGTTTTGCACCACCTTTGCCTAAACCTTTACCACCTTTTCCTCTTCCAGACATATTCAATAAATTTAGTATATGATATTTGAAGAAAGTATGTGTGTGCGTTAAATGACTGAATGAAAAGAAACACACAACATTTCGTTTATATATAGTTTGCTGATCCCTAAAATCGAGCCGTTATTGGCTGAAAAAGATATAAATTAGTAGGCGAATCAAAATACAGTATGATTGAACAAAGAACTTCTTGTCACGTTCGAAATTTAGTATCTTTTTCGGGATGACATTTTGTTTAAGTACGAAAAGCGTTCAATATTGAAAAATAACAGTAAAAACTTGTGACAAGCGACTTGAAGTTAGAACCGTATCTCTATTCTACAATACAAAATTGAACTATCAGTTTGTACCAGTCGCCTACTGTTTGAAGAAATTTTATATTAAAACATGAAAACTAAGAATGAATCACGTTTTCTTTCCTCTTTTGAAATTAAAATTATGCAAATAAAAACAGGTTTTGGAAGTGATGTTAATCTGGGGTTCTCCCCTCCTTGTACGACCAATAATAAATAAATATTAAATCGATTTTAGGACTTTATCGAGTGAAAAAAAGCATCACTCATGGCGATTAGGCTGGCAATTGGTTCCGAAAAGGTGCTGAGATGCTATACGAAAATAAAGTATTTTTCCCTCCTTGAAGAAAAACATCTTGCGTGAAAGAATAACTGATTTTCTAGAAAATGTTGATGGTTTGGATAACCTCAGATATAGTGTTAAATTTCTCAGTTTTTCCTAAATTTAAACATAAATGAATAATGTATATGAAGCTGACTATAGAAGATAGTTCTTTCGTTTACTTCAGAAGAGATAAGTTAGTCACAGTTCGTCAGGGAACAATATGAGAATTAAACAGGTTGACGGCGTCCTTAAAGCTTTTGTTGTTGAAGCTTAGAAACATTCATCAGCTAAATATTCGTTATAATGTGTAATTTTGTTTTCCCACTCTTGTATAGCTTGTGTTGTTTACGATATTCCATTCCTTCTATTTAGGGAAATATCAGTTGCACATAAACCGCTGATATTCTTGCACCGTCGATCCTGATACGAATAATAAAATAATTTTATACTTAATCGTCGTAAAAGTCTTGCTCGATTTCAAAAAGATCGGCTCGATTTCTCAAAGATTTAGAGGTAGCTTTACTGGTTCTGAAATATAAGCTCGATGTTCGATCAATTTTCAACTCAGGATTTCTAAGTTTTTTTCTCACAGCTTGAAATTCTTGACGTTTTTCGATGTTAACGTACTTTTCTCGTTCTGCGACATTAGTTTTACTCCGATTCGTTTGTTAATATTCATTAATTTGACCAATCAACCTATTCCAGTGATGCACCGTCTATCTATATAAGCAGAAAGTAACAGAGTTTGCTGTTCATTCTAAATTTCTTTGCGTTCTCTCACACATACATCGCACTTCATCCTTAATACATCTATAGACATGGCTCGCACAAAACAAACTGCCAGAAAATCAACAGGGGGTAAAGCTCCTAGAAAACAGGTTTGTTTTCTTCAACGTGTTTTAGCTGTACCGAGCCTTACGCTACTTCATTTTTTAGTTGGCAACGAAAGCAGCAAGAAAATCAGCTCCAGCAACAGGTGGAATAAAAAAGCCGCATCGTTTTCGACCTGGTACGGTTGCTCTTCGAGAAATTCGTCGTTACCAAAAGTCGACGGAGTTGTTGATCCGCAAATTACCATTTCAACGCTTGGTTCGTGAAATTGCACAGGATTTTAAAACGGATTTGCGCTTTCAATCGTCGGCAATCATGGCATTACAAGAGGCATGCGAATCTTATTTGGTTGGTCTATTTGAAGATACGAATTTGTGTGCAATTCACGCAAAACGTGTAACTATCATGCCCAAGGATATTCAATTAGCGCGAAGAATACGTGGTGAACGAGCTTAAGAAGCTGTTATTTAAGGTGAAAATGATTATATAGAAAATAAAACCCTACAGCCCTCATTAGGGCTAAAATTTGTGCATTCTCAGCGCTTACAAAGTGATTGCTATTATTGTCTCTGTAAAAAAAAAACATTAATTCGTCATTTAGTGTATAGTTCTAAGCTGTACCAGTTTTCACTAAAATTCGAGGAAACAACGCCATATTATGTTAGAATTCTGTCAGTTGTGACACATAGTTAGAAATGTAGAACGTTCATCGAGACTCATAAGTGAGTTTTTTTGTAGCAATAAACTTTTGGAATGTAACTGATGACATTAAAACTATGCAACTCTTTCCGTCATCATTATATTAGTCATAAAAGAAGTACAAATATCTAAATTACTTTACACATAAAAAAGAAGTAAAACTGCAGTTCGTTGTTAATTAATTTTTTGTGCACATAGCGCGTAGTTGACTGCTTTACATCGTGACCAGAACCAACGGTTTGTTAACGGATTTATAATCATTCCATTTAAAACGCGCAAGGCAAAGTTGTCTATGAATATAAAAAAGAGTCAACATGATTTCCAGTTAAATTTATTAAAAGGACGCACTTTTTTCAAATATCATTGTTAAATCTACAGGTTTTATAAGTCTGTTCCAGTCGTGTGTACCTTGTGGTACAGCACGGAACAAATATTCGGCACCTAGAATAGCGACCACATAGGATGTGACTGTACGATTAATCGTAGTCACAAAACATAAACCACCCGACTAGAATAAAATATTTCTTTAAGAAAACGAAAAAGGTCTGCTAATCTTAAGTGTCATAAAAAGGGCAAACATTTACTATTTAGAACATTAGAATAACTAATTAAGATTTTAAATAATTTTAAACATTTTCTATAGTCATTCTGCAACGAACATTATCAATTGAGTTTCATAGTGACTTGATCTTAAAGACTTGCTGTTAAAGTCTTACTTTAAGTAATTTGTTCGTATTTTCTACAAATTTGTCGATATCATTGATATGCTCAAATACCTCTGACGCAATAATCGCGTCATATTTTTCGTGTTCACTCTGATCTTCACATAACTGTTCTAATGTGACTATATGTAGAATAATAAAAAAATATGGCCGATTATAGAATAGCGACAGATAATCAGAATATACATACAAACCATGTTTATAGTTTAAACGACCAGTTAACGATAGATCAGCATGTAATTTAGCAGTTTCAATACTTTCCAAACATGCATCAATACCCAATATCGACGCACCAAGACGTGCTAACGGCTAGAAAATAGAGCAATCCTACATTGTCAGAAGATACAGTTAATATTAACTTTTTTCAAGTTCAATGTAATCAGTTGATAACAAAAATCAAGAGAGCAAAAACGCACGAGCAGTCAAAGATGTTGATACGAATATACGCATGGAACTTAAAGGATTATGCAATAGTATTTAAAATAATACACACTCTTTCAATTTTTGTCAATGCTATGGTTATCTTATCGGGATGAATACTAGAGAGACTTTATACTTGTACATCTTAGATTTTAGCAGCTCGTAGACGACTGAGCAGGAATCACATCGTTAAATCCTTATGAATTGTTACTTTATTGCGTCTGATGTGGTCCTGAGGTCATCCTGTACCGCTACTATACCATTATTCGCGTAAATTTTAGTGAAAACTGGCCCCGTCGAGAATTATAGAATACAGGAATAGCTTAAAAACGACTTACTTCTGCCAGTAGTCCTCCACCACATCCAATATCTAACAGTTTGAAGCCTTTTAAAGGTTCTAGAAAATTTTTTGATGTTGACATTGCTAACGTTGGTGTTTGGATTGTTTTCTCGGTTGCATGAGACAAATGAAGATTAAATGGTGGATGCTGCTGTAAAAGTTGTTCACGAATGAATGGAACTCGAAGTTGATTTAGCGAGTGTAATGCTTGAAATTCACCATTTTCATTCCACCAACGATCGGCTAATAAACGAAATTTTGAAACTTCAGCAACATCGACCGACGAAGAGAAGGAAGATGAAGTTATCTTTGTTGTTGATGTTGAATGAGAACGGGTAAAACTAAAACTAGAGAAAAATACATGATGCCGATGCTTCCTAAAGCAAAGTATTTGCTTACGTTCGAAGCACTATTACCAGACGGCGACTAGACATCTGAAATACATAAAAATGACTTGAAGTAACTATAGTACAAAATTCCTATATAAGCATTTATTTGAGAAACAGTTATCGAGCTTGTGAGATACGATAAGAGATTTTATCTCGCATTATTATGTCACGAAGCACTTGCACATATTGCAGAAGTGTTTGTCGACGTAGAGAAAAAGAAAAACTGAAAAAATCATAGTAGTAATCGACTCACACACTCAATTTCACTGAAAAAAAGAGAACAACAAAAAACTAAATATTGATATCTTCGAATATTAATGTAATCAATAACACTTTATGGATAAATCTGCTTAAAGACTAGATATATTAGCTCTGCTATAAATAATGTCCATGTTTCTTGGAGTTACATGTGAGAAAAAAAAGTATTCACTGTAATTAAGAGAGTATTAACTATCTTTCAAGAATGTTAAATCAGCGAGAAAAATACGAAGTGATTACACGTATCCATTATTCTATTTAAATTCGAATGTTTTAGTCAATTTCAATTTCGATTTTCATGTGAACAAAAAATGTAGAGAAAAAGTGATTGCAAAATAAATCACTATAAACATTATATTCGCTAAACAACCTTAATGAATAGCTATAATATAAACATGTATCAACTTTTAACAATCACACTTTGTTTTCTGTTAAAATAATAATAATACAATGAAATAACAAAAATATATATCGTATACGCACATACATAAATATACAAAATAACAGAAATAGCTCATATACCAAATGCAATCTAAGTGAACACAAAAATAAACATCTGAACAGTTACATGCAACAAACGAGTATAAATAGGTAAAGAGAATAAAATAGTTCATTCAAAAAATGAACGACAAAAACATCATAAAATAACATGAGAGAGAGTAAAGGAAAAAAAAGATAGTGATTGTTTTTGAAAGAGCATAGCGAAAAAAGTTAGGCTCTAACAAAAGCACCATAGTTCATTGATTACAATATCACAGCTGCAAGAGCTCTGCAAATGAAAAACGATAATGGAACAATGTCTAGATTATGTTACTAAAAGAATAGGAATATTTAAAAAAAAACTATTTTTTCTACTAAACTACAATGACTCTTTCTTCAGTCGAATCTAAGCCCAAATCGTCGTCAAAACTATCCTCATTCAACAATAATTCTTGTGTTGAAACACCTTGTCCTTTGGTTGGATGGGAATATCGAATAAATTCATTCAATGTCCGCTCGGTACATTTTGCTATAAAACGAATAAACGGTCGAATATCGCCATCATTAGCCAAATCCAAATAAGCGTAGTAAACTAAACGTTCAGATTTTTTGATGATTACAGGTGGAAAACCAGATCTCATCAAGATCAGATTCATGAGTAGACGACCAGTTCGACCATTACCATCAATAAATGGATGAATGTAAACAAAACGATAGTGGACGAGTGCAGCGAGTTCAATGGCATGTAAATCATGAGTGTCTACATCTAAAATAAACATTAGGTTTGATTATGGTAAAAAGTTGTTTGTGACATATTTTCTTGTTCACTTGTACGCTTACCAGAGTTTAACCATTTTAAAAGATCGTCTAAATACAGCTCAACTTCCGTGTATTTTGGTGGTGTAAATGATCCAACAAAAACTTGATGTTGACGTAATTTGCCGGCTTCCACTGGATCAACAAAGCCTAAAACTCGTCGATGTATTTCTAAAATATCTTGTTTCGTAATCGCTCCCAAACGATTCACCAAAGTACAATTAACATATTGTAAAGCTAAATCTAATCCTAAAACTTCTTGTTGTTCTTGTAAACTTTTACCGCCAACAGCCATACGAGTTTCGACAATATGACGTGTTTCACGTAAATTCAGTGTATTACCTAGAAACATTGAAAAAAGATATAAAAGTTAAATTCATAAAAGAGAAAATTAACGGAATGCTTTCGTGTGCAAAACCAGTTATTTTATAGTGGTTGTGCGACCACATTACCAAAGAAGTAAAACGTTGATTTCTATTTCTCGAAGTGTCGTAAACACTTTGAGTAGATAAACTTATTTCTTTGAATAAAAACAGTTTTTATGATAAACTGTGTATTATCTGATCTAATGAGAGTAACAGTACCTTCAATAGCATTTGAATGATAAATATGTAAATAATAGGCATCTCGTTTTGCTCGTCTCAAATATGGATTAGTATCCGGTATACGATAAAATTCTGCTAACAATTGATCAATAAATTGAAATGTTTTTTGATCAATTTCTTCTACTAACGGTAGACAACGACGTTTATTTTCTAATGCACGACGATGTGTAGGATGAGTTGTCAAAGCACGAGTATAATAATGTTCAGCCTAGAAAATAAATATTTAAGTTACATTATTTTAAATGTATTATTGTACTACCTGTAATAAATCGTTATGATGTCTTTCAAGGAATTGTCCATATTCTACCAATATTTCACTGTTGAGTGGATCTAATGTTAATGAATGTTCAAATAATCTTCGCGCTTTATCTAATTTATTTTCGACAATCAAACGTAACGCTAAGTGTAATGCAGTTTCAGCTTCAATACGTAAACCTAAATAAAATTAATTATAACTGTTACCACGAACTCGTTTCTTCACTAAAAGAAGTTGAGATCTATGAAAACATCAAACCAAACATATTTTTACTTGAAGATAGAGTCTATCTAGGAAACTAGCAAGATGCTCATGACTTCTAAGGTAGATGAAAATAAAAATGTTACGAAAGCGGTAAATGATCAGGTCACTTTTTTGCAAAAAAAAAGCACAGTACCGTATGCAAAGACTATTTGTCATTGCTTTCTACCATAAAAACTGGCATCAACATGAGATTCAAAATGTTTAATGATCTATGTTTGTCTTTGCCAGATTCTAAGACGTAAAACAAGACGTCTATCGAAAGAAGGGTTTTCCAATTTGAAGTTTTCTATAAATTTAACCAACATTAGCAGTTGTAGAAACAAAAAAATTGCTAAAAATACCTAGATAACATTTATATTTCAAAGTATGAAATATCATCCCTATTTATGATCAAAACTACTTTTATAGAAAGATATATCAGTCTCTCGAATCTTTTTTCCATATTAAAATTTGACAAACGAAGATAATTCTTCAACGAAAATGACTGTTTCAAATATTGCTTTTCTGTTTCTACATACCATTGGAAATTTTCGTTTTCCTTTTACTTCCAACGAAATATTGTTGATCCTCTTGCTGTTGTATTTGTAAATCATTTTGTTGTTTGAATTTTTGTGACAAGGAATGTTGTTCATAATATGATTTACTTAGGGTTGGTGGAAAAAAAATATGTTCTGTACGCAATAGACTCAATGAACGTGTAGTACTGACATGATCATTCGATAATGATGAATCATTAAGTGTTAGTAAATCTCGATTACTACTTAGTTTTGCTATAAATAATGGAAAATAACTAAAGCCAATAGCGCTAATAATGGATAACAATAAAACTATAATAGTGAGACATGTTGATAAAAGCAGATACTTCACGTGTTCTCTTTCTGCGTTTTCGTTTCCAATTAAAACCCATTGTTTAGATAAACATGGACAAGAACTGATAAAATAATGGACGATTTTCATCATTGTGGTGCGTTATGTGTTGTTGTGGAAATGATATAAATTTTGAAGATGATAATGAACACAAATGAATGCAGATCATTGTATGATGAGAAAAATATGTACTTTGAATAAGCTGAACTCAAATACTTTTAAAATTCCTGTGCTCAAAAACACGAAGAAATCATATCGCTGTACTTTAATCTAAAATATAGAAAAAGATTTGTTTTATTCAATACGAGTAAAAACGATGTCCAAAAAACAGATTATGCTAAATGCTTTCTTAAAAACTGAAAATGAAACAGAAGAATCCACTAACTAAGAAAAAGAGAACTTAACAATCTGTACACAGCACCGATTTCTTTTTTTTACTTTTATGAACAAAAAAAATACGATCAAAACAATCAATATACAAGTTTGTGTTTAATATCTCTTCTATGTATATTTGTTTCGTTGAATGCTTGTTTCAACTTTGGTTTCAGAGAGGTTCTCAGATCATCTCTGGTATTTTATCTTTTTTGAATGTCATCGTTAAATTATTATTCTCATTCTTTATTTTGTTGGCATTTGAGTGCACAAAAACTCACTTAGCTTCTCTTTTACTTCTAGAATTAGGTATTCGCCGAGTTAGTTTTTAACAGAAATGATCTGAATAAAACTATTTAAGTCTCATTGTTTCTAGTCTGAACCGCTGTCGCTGGTTTCAAGTTATATTCTTGGATATAGCGCTAGATGAAAATCAGAGATTGTCCAAAGAAAGATAAGGAATCAGAAAATGTTGATAAATCGAATGAATCGCAAACCTTAAACATCATATATGAGCCGCACTTTCACCATAACATTGCTATACTTTAATTCAAGCTTTTTTACAGGGAAAAAATCATGACTGAGAAGATAGAATAATTTCAAATTACTCCAATAACAGTCAAGATAAACTACAATAATATCCTAGCGCTGTAAAAGATAAAGCTAACACAGCAAATGTAACAAACAAAGAGACTGAGATCATCTTATCAAGATGCTTCGATTTATTGGTCAAAATATCGTAGGAGACTCTTATAAATGCTTTATCCATCGACTTTTCCTTATTCACTCTAAGTTTCATTCAGAAAAACCTAACATATTTCTTTAAAAAACTAGCCAGCTCAGAAAACATCACCACACTGCAGAATAGATTTAGAAATAAAATGAACATCATGCAAATTTCATTTGCTGTTTCCTTTCAGCAAGTATGTTTTGAGAATATAGCAGCTATGCTAGTATAGCTAAAAATAAATAAAAAAACGTAAATGTCACATTTTGTTTATATACTAAAATGCCAAAGTCGCCATTCAATAGTAATATTATAAAAACATTTTTTAAAAAGTTCGGAAAGAATTTACTATTATTGTAATTTGTTTGACTAAGTTCACATTCAAGGAAGAGAATTAATAAAAACGCTAAAGTACATAGATGTCGATCACAGTCGGCTATGAATATACGCACATCAGTACGTTTACTAACATAACATCATAGTTAAAATGGGTTAATGGTGTGGGGTGCATTTTTCAGTTGCGTGTACAATCAACATCAACTCGCTTGGATACGAATGAATTAATACTCATAACTTCTACGCCAAAAGCGCATTAATCTTAGAATGGTAAGAACTTCAAAATCGTCAAGTTTTTATGCCTACAGCTGTTCGTATCTCTTATAAATAAGATAAATCCGTTACTTATATAAGTAACGGTAAAGTAAATAAGATAATCTTATTTACGTCAAAAAATGATCTTTAGATAGTAAAAAATCAATGCATGTTGTAAAATTGATCCATGTCACGAAATCGGGTAACTTTCTACATTTAATCGCATTTCTATTATAATTGATAAAAAATCGCCGATAAATTTTGATTAATCCATGATTTTTACTGAAATTGTGATGACCTGACTGATTAACTGCGCATAATCGGTAATTTTTGCTAAGTTTGAGGGCATGGGAGGCACCGGATTGCAGTGCTAACAGGGAGGTCAAAAGCGACCATAGTGAAGAGTGAGGAGTAAACCACAAATATCGCTGTTAGTAACCGAAACTCGACAAGTTTAAATAATGTTCGAATCAAGTAGTTTTGAGCATATATATGAAGCGGATGATATTTCAACAAATAAATAGATGCACAATATATTTCGAGTAAAATGAAGCATATCACCGGATCTAAAATTTTTAAAAGCTTGTTCGGTCAAAACCGATTGCAAATTCGTCTTCTCCGTGGTTGATTATGTGGTACGCGATAGCTTCTGGATCGGAGTAACTTTTTGAAAAATTTTTAAGCAAGACCATGGCAAATTTTTTTCTAAAGTACCCCGTACTTTTATAAGAAGCTAGGGTATTTATATTAGTAGTCGGAGATGAGATACACAAAGTATTTTGATAAGAGGAAATCAAACAGTCACGCTCGTAAATCTACTTATTCATGCAGAAAATGATGAAAAAAGGGTTCTAAGTTAGGATATATTGTACATGGGTGAAAAACGTCTTACAAGATCTGGTATTTTCTTACAGAATGTTGCAATAAGATCGTACAGTAGGAGCTTACAAGACCAGTGTTTATAGCAGTATTATTTATAAAATTCTTATAACTTTATCTAGAAAATGTGCTGAATATTTTCCTACAGTCGTAATGAGAAATCATATAGCTTGCTTGTACGTGGATACGACAAAATCGATAGATGTTATATATTCATCATAGAGAGATTTTAATCAAGTATTAAAGAGCTTTTCTGCTATTTATTGCTAACGATTGTTCTCTTCTTATTGAAAATTGCTGAACAAACACTCAAATTTTAATTAAACCAGTTTTTCTCATCGCCTATAGGCGATTTGGTCACCATTTAATTAATTTGGTAATCTACCATGTCGCGATCATCTTATGTAAACCTTAAAGTATCTTTCCTTCTAATTTTAGTAGTACAACACAGTAATGATATTGAATCATGAATGTTATAAATATTATTCTAGATATCTCACTACAAAGAATAGATGACAATCAAACTGCATTTGGAATCACTACTTAGATTCCAAACGAGCTATTTTTTTACTCTCGGATTTATCCTAATTTAAAAATTGGACAAATATTAGTCAAGCCGACAGATGATGTACTCGCAATGATTGGCACTTATTATAAACTGTATTAATAATTTATGTTACCGCAAATCATCTTTTACAATCATAGTTCGTATATTTTAATGATAGAATCATCAAAGAAACTAGAAATGAAATAGAACTGAAATTACAATTTCTCTCATTTTCAGTTTAATAATGTTCCACTAATGAATCGTCAAACTAGCATGAGTTAAACAAGGCGTTTATAAAAAAATTCGAGTGTTTTTTTCGTATAAGTGCTTATCATTGATTTTACCAAGCTGGGATAATTTATTAGCAGATGACACAGAAAATGAATTAGTAACAAATTTATGATTTCAGAAAATGATGCCGATTGTAATGTCTTCTAGGTTCAATTACTTTTAACTTACGAGATGAGATGTGTACTATTCTTTATTTCTTCTTGTTTCTCTTCTTTCTACTTTTATTCTCTCTCTTTCTCTCTCTCTCTCTTTCCTCACCTCTCCTCTCCTCTCGGAAATAAAAAGAATTGAGTAGTAATTATATTTCTATTAAACATGTATTAGTGTGAGAAAATCTCTTTGACATCCATGCAATGCCAAGTAATTGTTGAAAATGATAGTTCGAACGATTTTATCAGACACCGTCTGATTTAAACCATGAGCAGACAATGTGTATGTACATGTTTCAACATCTAAAAGTACTTGAAACTGAAGAGAAAAGTAAGTAAAATTTCTATCGTCAACAAAAGGTAAATCTTAAAAATGTTTACTATCTATGAATTTGATGTAATGCATTAGTTTGTTTAAACGTCACTTCCACATATTTTTTTTGTTATTCTTTATACTGTTAGATACAGACAATGTTTGAGATCAAAGAAAAAAGTTAGTCTGGGTTGGAGACTTTTGTTATAAAGTAACATAACTGCTTAATAAACTTATGGGTTATCTCTTAAATATCATATATTTATCAATTTTATAATCCAGAATGGCTTCCATAACCGACATTTTATTCTCAAGTTAATGCAAGTAGTTTGGAAGACTTTTGTCAGTCGTTGACAAGACTCGTTTGGCTCACTGCTCGATCTTCTGGTATAACACCCGTTTTTTCGAGATATCATACTCTCTGGAATACTTTGAAATAGAATATAACTGTGATTTTAGTTCTTAATATTGTAGGAAAAATATGAGAATCAAACTCAGCCCCACATCCACTTTCTTGCTTCATTCACATCGTGAACGCGGCTCTCGCTTCGCGATCGCTCTAAAATCGCGCAACTCTTGCCACGATCGCTAAAAAGTCACTGTTGTCACGGCGCAATCATGGCTAACTCTTATTTTTGAAAAAATTCTAATTTGCGATCGTGAAGCTCGACTTTTTAGCGATCGCGGTGCGACTTCCGTGCAAATCCTATCCAGCATTTTGTTTTGCTTATGCACCTGATATACAACGCTCACTGATTTTTCTTAAAATTTTCGAGATCTTATCACATCTTAGTAAATAATAATAGCTTACGAGATGACCAATATAGTCTCGCGTAGTCACGTCGCGAAAAAATCACGATCGCTAAAACTCGCGTCTTATTTCGCGATCCTTCTGCGAATTTTTAAAGAGACTCGCGTCGCGACATGCGATAAGAAAGTGGACTTGAGATGGTTATCCGTGTCAATGTTCTACTGTATAATTACAGAGACAGTCTAGTCGTATGGTTTTGCCTGCTTGGTTTTGTTCTCGAAATGAAGAGTATCCCCCTCTAATATAAAAAAGAAAATCGGTATTCTTTCATTGATTCAGTTCCAATTCGTCGACACGTTACTTGATTTTCCTATTTCGTTGACATTTTATTTTGTCGGCGACTCGCAAACATCTTTCATCTTCCGCCGACCCATGTTGTCGACAAGTCAGGAAAAAAATTAATAAGTCGATGAATCGGGACGATACTCTTTCATTGACTATAATATTTAATGTACTTCACCTCTTTCACGTAATTGTGCTGTACCAGCTTGGATTTAATAGAAAAATTGATGAATGAATACTACTAAATGTTTAAATCCTCTCATACAACATCTAGAATCAATTGCGCGTATTAATCATTATATTTTATTAAACGCATGATTAAGAACGATGGCACCAGATTTTTTTTGTTCTTGTACATTGTCACGCTACTGTACTCCAATATTCATCACTAAAAGAAAAAAAATCAAGTAATCCTCTGTTCTCTCATGCAGGTACATCGAAATATTGATTGACTAACACGTTATAATAGAGAAATGATAAATTAATTTGCTGGTCTACAATAAAAAAGATCTGTAAATAAATAGATGAAGTTCGCTAATATTTTCATGTAGTTTCAATTAATCTGTTTTGTCCACCCTTTTGGCTTATCTGAGTATCTTTCCTTTGTGGAAAAATAGTGATATAAACACTGCTTTGGTATTTACATTATTTCCTATTTGTTCCTTTTATGTGCCTGTTACTTTAAAAGGTTCTATCGCGTATAGTCGGCTATTTCAGTGTTGTACTCCTAATTTTATACTTATTTTTCACTCTGTACAAGTGTTTTTTGTACGATATTTTTCTTTTTTTAATAGATGTGCTAATGTATAAGAAAAAATACAAAAAAGAGTAAATCGGTTGTCTTTTCACATATTTATATCTTTTTTATTCTTTTATATACTTTCATTGTCTGATGTCTACAATGGCACACACACTCACATTAACTTTCTGGAATTGAATTTTGGATGATACATAGTGAATATTTAATATTGACGGAATAATGATTTTGAATATACACGTTCGTTTCAAAAAGAAGAAGAGATCTGACATAGAACAAAACGAGTGAGATATTCAAAATTTTTTAGCATTTCTATTATGAATCAGCATTGTATAATTGCAAATTTGACATAAAAAGAACATTAAAAAGTATCCTTTCAATAATCTCGATGATACAGTACATACGTATAACACATTTTATATTTCACTCATATATATTATAACTAATGATAAAGAAGCAGAGAAGACTTCATATGAGATTTTAACTCAACAAATAACTGATATTAATTATTATTAATTTACCACTTTTATTGATTTCTGTCTATCTGATCATCGTACGAGAAACCAGTAGAATTTAACTACTACAGCTTTACATTACCTTTATAATTCGTTTCAAACTCCTTCAGTGAACCCAAATTAATTTTGTTCACAAGTCACTCGTTTTTCAACGTGCTACTGTTGAATTTTGATTCAGAAGCTCGTTCCTAACGGGTACTGGTGAATGAAAAAGATACATTTCTACCCATCTATGATTTGCACAAATGATTGAAAACTTGAAAACATGCCTGATTCAGTTATACTTCTCGTGCATGAAAATTTATGCAGTTTTCTTATAGTGAGCTATTAATATTATAATTATTTCGTTTGTCATTATTCATACAGTGCTAATATA